GATTCCCGCCTCCTGGGTTCAAGCCATTCTCCTGCCTCAGTCTCCGGAGTAGTTGGGATTACAGGAGTGCAACACCACGCCCGGCTAATTTTTGTATTTTTAGCAGAGACAGGGGTGGGGAGGGGATTTTACCATGTGGGCCAGGCTGGTCTCAAACGCCCGACCTCAGGTGATCCACCCACCACAACCTCCCAAAGTGCTGGGATTATAGGAGTGAGCCACCGTGCCCGGCCAAGCGTAGTTTGGAGTGTTAAGTGTGACGATGCATGTTTAATACTTTAAATAGCCTGGTACAAGGTAGGTAAGTACTCAGTAAATCTTAGCCAGCCTTACTTATGTTGTTTGCCACTCCTTCCTCACCATTGTGCTGATGAGGCCCATGGTATTATATCCTCCATTCCCGAGATGAGAAAAATGTGACTCTGAGGCAGCTGCTGTCTCTCCTGGGGTCGCTTGGCTGGTGGGTGACAGGCCAGTGTTTTAAACCAACCCAGGCTCCAGCCTGGGGGCCCTGACCCCACAGCTGTTGAATATTCAGTAGGCCCCTGCTGTTCTATATTCAAAGACCTTTGTTCGTGGTTAATAATGGCTCTTTGTTGCTGCCAGGGGGAGGGTGGCCTCCATGCCAGGCTTAGACCCTTTTCCTTTTCAGGGGCCACACCCGCCTCACCCTCATATTAGCTTTAGTCATATCCTCAGGGTGTGCTCGGCAGGGAGGTAGAAGGGTGGGTGGGGCTCATAGACTGGCACATGGCGATTGGCAGAGTCCCAGGCGCGTGTCCGTGTGTCATCTGCAGTGGGACAGCTGCTCCATTGTGTCTGAACTTGTCCATCTGAGAGAGGCAGAGATTAGTGTCAGAGCCAGACCTTGACTGGTCCCCTCCTAGTCCTGTCCCTGCCCTTTCTCATCCGGTTGGTGCCTTCACGGAGCTCTGTGTGTGCCAGGCACTGCCCTGGGAGCTTCTACCCATGTGATCGCCTTTAATGTTCATAAACAGGCTGTGTAGTGAGTCTTGACCTTTGCCTTGCAGCCTCCAGGGTGACTTTTTTTATGAGATGGAGTTTTGCTCTTGTTGCCCAGGCTGGAGTGCAATGGCACCATCACAGCTCACTGCAATCTCCGCCTCTCAGGTTCAAGCGATTCTCCTGCCTCAGCCTCCCCAGTAACTGGGACTACAGGCATGTGCCACCACACCCAGATAATTTTGTACTTTTAGTAGAGACAGGGTTTCTCCATTTTAGTCAGGCTGGTCTCGAACTCTCAACCTCAGGTAATCCCCGCCTCCTTGGCCTCCCAAAGTGTTGGGATTACAGGCGTGAGCCACTGCACCCAGCCCAGGATGACCTTTTCAAACTCGGTCAGAGCACAGCATCCCAAGGTCCTGCCACAGCCTACGAAGCCCGACTTGGTCCAACCCCAGCCACGTCTCTGACTTCAGCGTTTCCATTCTCCCTGTCCTAAATGCCTATTATTGCTCAACACACTGCTCCAAACATGCTGGCCTAAGCCATGTTATTATTTCTGCTGACTCTGTGCATCAGGGATGACGTCGGGCACTGGGGAGCCCACTTGTGCCGCTGCTGCCTGCGATGTCTGCTGGGGCTGGAGCGCCCAAGATGGTCTCATCATGGCAATGCCTGCTGAGGTTGTCCCAGGGTATTTTTTTTTTATTTTTTATTTTTTATTATTTATTTATTTATTATTATTATTATTATTATTTTGAGACGGAGTTTCGCTCTTGTTACCCAGGCTGGAGTGCAATGGCACAATCTCGGCTCACCGCAACCTCCGCCTCCCGGGTTCAGGCAATTCTCCTGCCTCAGCCTCCTGAGTAGCTGGGATTACAGGCACGTGCCACCATGCCCAGCTAATTTTTTGTATTTTTTTTTAGTAGAGACGGGGTTTCACCATGTTGACCAGGATGGTCTCGATCTCTTGACCTCGTGATCCACCCGCCTCAGCCTCCCAAAGTGCTGGGATTACAGGCTTGAGCCACCGCGCCCGGCCTTTTTTTTTTTTTGAGATGAAGTATTGCTCTGTTGCTCAGGCTGGAGTGCAGTGGTACAATTTCGGCTCACTGCAACCTCTGCCTCCCAGGTTCAAGCGATTCTCCTGCGTCAGCCTCCCCAGTAGCTGGGATTACAGGCCTGTGCCTCCATGCCCAGCTATTCTTTTTTTTTTTTTCCTATTTTTGGTAGAGCTGAGGTTTCACCATGTTGGCCAGGCTAGTCTTGAACCCCTCACCTCAGATGATCCGCCTGTCTCGGCCTCCCGAAATGCTGGGATTTCAGGTGTGAGCCACCGTGCCTGGCTGTTCCAGGGGGTTGAAAACACGAGCCCTGAGCCTTGGTTCTTGCAGTCACCCGGGTTGTTGGTTCTTTTTATAGGCTTAGGGGCTCTTCCTCTCTACCTGGTTGTCCGCGGTAGTTGGACTTCTTACCAGGCAGCCCTGGTCAAGAGCACAGAAGTGGCTACTGCAAGGCCCTCTTATGACTTGGGGCTGGAAATGGCAGAGCATTGCTTCCACTGAGTCCTTTGGCTAAAGTAAGCACAGGTTCAGTGCAGATTCAAGGCGGGGACCATGCAGATGGCCAGCGTGGCTCATTGGAGGCCACCAACGAAAGGGCCTACCAGGTTCCTGCTCATTCACTCTTCCTCTAGCCTGTGACACACACGCCTGCCGCTGGGTCTTACCACTTACTGGTTCCCTCTGCCTGGGGTGCTTTTCCCCAAATATCCAGAGGTCTTACCCCTTCCTGTCATTCAGCCTCAGCTAAATGTCACCTTTAAAGAGCGATCAGGGGCAGGTATAGTGGCTTACACCTGTAATCCCAGAACTTTGGGAGGCCGAGGAGGGTGGATCACAAGGTCAGGAGTTCGAGACCAGCCTGGCCAACACGATGAAACACCGTCTCTACTAAAGATACAAAAAATTAGCCAGGCGTGGTGGTGCATGCCTGTAATCCCGGCTGCTCAGGAGGCTGAGGCAGGAGAATCGCTTGAACCTGGGAGACAGAGGTTGCAGTGAGCCGAGATCGTACCACTGCACTCCAGCCTGAGTGACAGGGTGAGACTCTGTCTCAAAAAAAAAAAAAAAAGACCATACCTGATTCTGTCTCATCAAAAACAGTGTACACCCCGCATCACCTCTGACCCCTGACCCCACTCGGCTCTTTTTTTTTTTTCATTGCACTTATCACCTTCTGGCATTATATTTACTGCCTGTTTATTATTTGATATGCCTCTCACCCGTCTCAGAATACAGCTGTCATGTGAGAGGGGCACTTGCCTTGTTCACTGCAGTTCCCTTAGCTCCAGATATGACACATGGTAGATAGGGTTGTTAAATGAATATTTGAGATGAGGAAACTGAGGCTCAGAAAGGTTAAGTAACTTTCCCAAAGACACACAGCTAATAAGTGACAGAGTGGGGATTCAAACTCAAGCATTTAACATTGATCGTGAAGTCATAGAAACTTGGCTGCCTAGGGGTAATTGCTTATGTAATTATGGCAGCCTGCCCCCTCTTCTCTCTGAGTCCTGCCTGTCTCCACTTAGAGTGATCTTCCTGAAAGTAAAATCTGATCAAGCTTAAAACCCATCTTGAAGGTAGCTCCCTCCCCTTCAGCAGAAAGCCCACGTGCCTTAGCGTGCTGCCAAGACACAGCAAAGCGCAGCTTCTAGCTCTGGCCTGATACAGAAAGGATGAGGGTTTTGGAGTTACCCCGGCTTTGTCTGCAGCACGCCTAATCACCAGCTCTCTAAACACAAGCAAATTAGGAATGTCATTCATTCTGCGTGTCTGTGGTTAGCAGGAGGTCAAGCTGGCTGAAGGCAGATCTGGAGTGGCCTCAGCTGGGGCAGTCATCCCACATAGTCTCATCTTCCCAGCAGGCTAGCGCAGGCTTGTTCTGGTTGGGCTCTGGAGCGGAGCAGAAGTCTGCAAGACCTCCTAAGGCTGGGCTTGGAACTGGCCCAGCATCACTTCTGCTGTGTTCTGTTGGTCCAAGCAGATCAGGAGCCCAGCCCAGGTCCCATGAGTATGTGTGAAGCTCTTTACACCATGCCTGACACACAGGAAATGCTATTATTATTGTTGTTGATGTTGTTGCCATGAATTTGCATAGTACTTTATGCTTTTTTTTTTGAGACGAGGTCTTGTTCTGCCACTAGGCTGGAGTGCACTGGCACAATCTCTGCTCACTGCAACCTCTGCCTTCCAGGTTCAAGTGATTCTCTTGCCTCAGCCTCCCGAGTAGCTGGGATCACAGGTGTACGCCAGCACACCCAGCTAATTTTTTGTATTTAAGCAGAGACGGGGTTTCACCATGTTGGCCAGGATGGTCTCAATCTCCTGACCTTGTGATCCACCTGCCTCGGCCTCCCAAAGTGTTGGGATTACAGGCATGAGCCACTGTGCCCAATCCTTTATGCTTTTTAGAGTTTTATTGAATACATTACTATATCCTACACTGTGGGAGGAAGTTGGAGCAAATATTACTAGTTTGACAAATATTTGACAAATATTTAAAATATCTAAAACTTTGGGCAAGTTTAGATAACTTGCCCCAGGAGGCTGAGGCAGGAGAATTGCCTGAACCCAGGAGGCGGAGGTTGCGGTGAGCCGAGATTGCGCCATTGCACTCCAGCCTGGGTAACAAGAGCGAAACTCCGTCTCAAAAAAAAAAAAAAAAAAAAAAAAAAGATAACTTGCCCAAGACTGCGCTTTTAGCTAGTGGCTGCAGCCAAACACTGGAAATCAGATGTCGTGCAATTTAAAGCATGTCTGCAAACACATCTGCAGAAAGTGAGCCCATCTGCAGATGATTTCATTGTCCTGAGCACCACTGTGGTAAATGAAATAAGATCTAAATGCTGTCGTCACTGACCCAGGCTAGTAACTATCTGCAAGGCTTAGTGATGATGTCCAAGATCCAAGTTTCCTGCTTGGCTTCCTAGCTCACTGGTGTGAAAGATAGCTTTCTTTTCTTTTACCTAGAGAACCTGTCTCTAGACTCCAGTTGCTTCTCCTCTCCACCTGTGAACTTCCTCCAAGAATTGCCAAGCTATCGGTCCATTGCACGCAGGAGAACGACCGTCATTTCTCGGGGCAAGCAAAGTGGCACTTTGCTAAAGCCAACCAACTCTTACAGCTCCCAGCTGAAGGACGGAATTGCTGCAAATCTCAGCAGCCAATCCATTCGAGAATATGCACTGAACATCTCTGAGAAGCGGAGACTAAGGTTTGTTCACTAGCCACCTGGAATCTGTATAGTGATATTATGCACCAGAGGTATGTTTTGTGCATGAAATGCATTTCTTGAAGAGCTCACATAATTAAAATTTTCTTCCTTAGCGTAAGCTAAGCTTTTTTGACAAAGATACCGAAACTCCTACTGTTTCACTTGATTAGCCTTAAAAAAAAGATATCTAAACATACTCAACATAGTAGAAGTTTATTTCTTTTCTTTTTTTTTTTTTTTTGAGATAAAGTCTTGCTTTGTCAACAGGCTGGAGTGCAGTGGTGCAATCTCGGCTCACTGCAACCTCCACCTCCCAGGTTCAGGCAATTCCCCTGCCTCAGCCTCCTGAGTAGCTGGGACTACAAGTGCATGCCACCATGCCCAGCTAATTTTTGTATTTTTAGTAGAGATGGGGGTTGGCCAGGATGGTCTTGATCTCTTGACCTTGTGATCCGCCCCCCTTGGCCTCCCAAAGTGCTGGGATTACAGGCTTGAGCCACCATGCCCGGCCTAGAAGTTTATTTCTTGTTAGCATAAAGTACTAGGTTCAGGTCAGTGGGAAACTTTGTAGTCAGTCATTCAGGGACCCAGGCTCTTTCCATCTTGTGGCTCTGTATACCCTTAAAACCTCATTTTTGTCTGCAACCAAGCCATGCAAAAAGAAAGAGTATGGAGTATGAGTATACCACTTAGCTATACCCCACAACTCAGTAGCCTAATATACAACTGAGTAGCTAGTCAATCCTTCTAGTTTCAGTTGGGCTGAATCTTTATTGATAGTCAGCTGTGGTTGGGGTGATGGCTCTGCTGATTTAAGCTGGGGGGTCAGCTTGCTGTAAGCTGGTCTGGGGTGGCTTCAGCTGGAATGATCACATGGTATCATTAGGAGAGCTCCAGTTTGTTTGCATGGCAACAGTTGGAGCCCAAGAGAGGATCAGAAACCTACAAAACCTCCTGAGGCTAGGCTTAGAACTGGCTCAGCTTCCCTCCTACTGCAGGCTATGGTCTAACCAGATCACAGTCCAGATTCAATGGGTGGGAAATATTTCCTCCTGCTAATGGGAAGAGCTGCAAAGTCACATGGCTGTGGGACATTCACATATTCATTGAGTAATTGGGAGTTTTGGGAGTGGGTTAACAGCCAAGCCTGAAAGGTACACATATCACTTTTCTTTACGTGTCTACCAGAGAGAATTTAGTCACATGGTCATACCTAACTGCCAGGAAGGCTGGGAAGTGTGAACGGATTTGGGTGATAGCTTGTCATCTCCCCCATTCTTGAAGAATTTCAAACATAATTTTCCCATTGGCCTGGTGTAATGACAGACGTGGGTATTTCTGCTTAACTCTTTAATTGCCCCCCACCCACCAAGGGTCAGTAGCATAAATGCATTGGAAGGGTCCGGCAAAGTGGCTCATGCCTGTAATCACAATACTTTAAGAGACTGAGGCAGGAGGATTGCTTGAGACCAGAAGTTCCAGACCAGCCTGGGCAGTATAGCAAGACTCTGTCTTTACCAAAATAAATAAATAAATAAATAAATAAATAAATAAAAATAATAAAATTAGCTGGGTGTGGTGATGTGTGCCTGTAGTCCCAGCTACTCAGAAGGCCGAGGCAGGTGGATTGCTCAAGCCCAGGAATTGGAGGCTGCAGTGAGCTATGATTGTGCCGCAACACTCCAGCCCTGGTGACGAGTAAGACCCTGATCTTGTCTCCACAAAAAAAAAAAATAGTGAAACAAAGTAACACATCGGATGATATACTGTGACTTGTAGGTTTGAGAATATGCTATCTGTGGTTTTATTTTTAATTTGGGTGGTCTTGTATTCTCAAAAAAATATTGAGACTTTATAACTGTATTTTAGCCAGCACAGTGCCTCACGCCTGTAATCCCAGCACTTTGGGAGGCTGAGGCAGGCAGATCGCTTGAGCACAGGAGCTCATGACCAGCCTGGGCAATGTGCCAAAACCCTGTTTCTACTAAAAATACAAAAATTAACTGGGCATGGTAGTGCACTCCTGTAGTCTCAGTTACTAAGGAGGCTGAGGTGGGAGGATCACCTGAGCCCAGGAGGTTGAGGCTGCAGTGAGCCAAGATGGTGCCACTGCACTTCAGTCTGGGCGATAGAGCATGACCCTATTTCAAAACAAACAAACAAAGAAAAAAAGGATATTTTAGTGCTCCCTTTGGGAGCACATATACTAAAATTGGAGCAATACAGAGAAAATTAGCATGGCCACTGAGCAAGAATGACACACAAATTCATGAAGCATTCCATATGTAAATTTATTTAAAAATCAAATAAATAATAAATAAATACATAATGTATTTTATTCCCCACTCTTTCAGATTCATGGATTTTGAATTTTATTTTATTTTATTTTTGAGACAGAGTTTCGCTCTTTTGGCCCAGGCTGGAATGCAATGGCGGGATCTTGGCTCACCACAACCTCCGCCAATTCTCCTGCCTCAACCTCCCAAGTAGCTGGGATTACAGGCATGCACCACCACACCTGGCTAATTTTTGTAGTTTTAGTAGAGATAGGGTTTCTCCATGTTGGGCAGGCTGGTCTCGAACTCCCAACTTCAGTGGTTTGCCTGCCTCGGCCTCCCAAAGTGCTGAGATTACAGGTGTGAGCCACTGCACCCAGCTAGATTTTGAATTCTTATAAACGGCTACTGTTCTATACCAAACTGCCACACCTAAGCGAGAGACATATTTTCTATCAAGGGGCTTCCAGGCTCACTGGAAAAATGAAAGTAACAGACTCACGAGAGCAGGACCCATGTCTACCTGGTTTACCAGTGAATCCCTAGAAAATGGCAAAGAAAAGGACACAGGAAGGATCATTCTTTTTTTTGAGACAGAGTCTTGCTCTGTTGCCCAGGCTAGAGTGCAGTGGCATGATCTCAATTCACTGCAACCTCCACCTCCCAGGTTGTTGCAATTCTCTTCCCTCAAGTAGCTGGGATTACAGGCACCAACCAGCACGCCCAGCTAATTTTTGTATTTTTAATAGAGAAGGGCTTTCACCATGTTGGCCAGACTGGTCTCAAACTCCCGACCTCAGTGGCCTGCCCACCTCGGCCTCCCAAAATGCTAGGATTACAGGCATGAGCCATTGCACCCAGCCAGGAAGGATACTTCTAATTGCTAATAGTTGTTATTCTTTATTTCCCTTAACCCCCGCTCCACCCTCCGAGGCAGGGTTTAAACATTATTATTATTTTGTTTATTTATTTAGAGACAGAGTCTCAATCTGTCGTCCAGACTGGAATGCAGTGGTGCCATCTGGGCTCACTGCAACCCCGCCTCCCAGGTTCCAGTGATTGTCCCACCTAAGCCTCCCAAGTAGCTGAGATTATGGGTGCCTGCCACCATACCTGGCTAATTTTTTGTATTTTTAGTAGAGACGGGGTTTCACCATGTTGACTAGGCTGGTCTTGAATTCCTGACCTCAGGTGATTTGTCTGCCTTGGCCCCTCAAAGTGCTGGGATTATAGGCATGAGCCACCACGCCCAGCTGAGGGAGGGTTTTTTCTTTTTTATTTATATTTTTTATTTTTATTTATTTATTTATTTATGAACAGAGACGGGGTTTCACCATGTTGGCCAGGCTGGTCCCAAACTCCTGACCTCAGGTGATCCGCCCGCTTCGGCCTCCCAAAGTGCTGGGATTATAGGCATGAGCCACCACACCCGGCTGGGAGGGTTTTTTCTTTAACCTTAGCACTCTTGCTTATTGACATTTGGGGTCAGATAGTTCTCTGTTGTGGAGGGCTGCCTATGGATTGGAGGATGTTTAGCAGCATCCCTGGCCTCTATCTACTAGAAGCCAGAAGCATGTCCCCCTCTCCCAGTTGTGACAATCAAAGAGGTCCCCAGTCATTGCCTGATGTTCCTTGAGGGTGTACAAAATCGCCCCCACTTGAGAACCACTGATGTAAGGGAAGGTATTTTACTAACTCCAACTTACTGATAAGGAAACAGACACAGCACAGGAGGCTTGTTTGGATGGAAGGCTCAAGTCCTTTATTTTTATTTTTTTTTAATTTTTTGAGGCAGAGTTTCGTTCTTGTTGCCCAGGCTGGAGTGCAATGGCGTAATCTCGGCACACTACAATCTCTGCCTCCTGCGTTCAAGCGATTCTCCTGCCTCGGCCTCCCGAGTAGCTGGGATTACAGGCGTGCTCCACCACACCTGGCTAATTTTATATTTTTGGGAGAGATGGGGTTTCACCATGTTGGTCAGACTGATCTCAAACTCCAGACCTTGTGATCTACCTGCCTCGGCCTTCCAAAGTGGTGGGATTACAGGCATGAGCCACCGCACCTGGCCTTTCAAGTCCTTTTCTTTAATAGGAGCTCCCTGTCTGATGGAGGAAGGCAAACTGGTGGGAGGGTGGCGGTGTGTGCCATGTGCCATGAATGGCTGGCAAATTCCTCGAGTCTCCTCTCTCACCTTCAGGCCCCAGCACCTTCTTTTTCCCCTGCTCTCCTTACTCCCTTACACGAACTTGGACTTGGGGTGCCTCCCCCAGGTTTCCAAGCCCCGATCACATCCCCTTTTATAGCACTTCTCCCCGAGAGCTGTCGTTGTTGGAGTTCAGCGTGTTTGCCTTCCCTCTAGACTCTGGATCAGCTTTGTGGACCATGCAGTCTGTGTTGCAACTACTCAGCTCTGCTGTTGCAGATGATTCATAAATGAATGGGCGTGGCTGTGTTCCAGGAATATTTATGGTCACTGAAATTTGAATTTCATGTGATTTCCATGTGTCATAAAACATTATTTTTCTTTTGGCTTTTATTATTAAAAATTTTTTTTTTTAGATACAAAGTCTCCCTCTGTCACCCAGGTTGGAGTGCAGTGGCACCATCTTGGCTCACTGCAACCTCTGTCTCCTGGGTTCAAGTGATTCTCCTGCTTCAGCCTCCCTAGTAGCTGGGATTACAGGTGCCTGCCACCATACCCAGTTAATTTTTGTATTTTCAGTAAAGACAGGGTTTCACCATGTTAGCCAGGCTGGTCTTAAACTCCTGGTTTCATGCTCGGCCTCCCAAACTGCTGGGATTACAGGTGTGAGCCACCACCCACGCCTGGCCTCCTTTTTTTTTTTTTTTTTTTTTTTTTTTTTTTTTTTTTGA